GATCCTTGTGGCTGGAGCACTAAAGGAAGATCTTAAACTGGATCTTGAGGAGGACTTGAGTCTGAGTAGGTGAAGAATGCACTTAAAAACGCCCTTGGTACACTCAAAGGATAATGAACAGCTTGGCTTAGGTAAAAAAGTGCTTTAAACTAGGAAAAGATAAAGACATGTAAGTTTGGATAGTGTCAGATTGTCAGTAAACTCTTCTGTTAAACATAAATTTAAGTGAGGGAATGGGTCTTTTTCATATTCCTTGCACAGGGTCTGACACATAGGATGGATTCAATAAGTATTTGCTGACTACCTGACAGACTGGGTGATTGACTAATGGAAACTTCAAAAGTTAGTTCCAAGAACTTTCTCTTTAGGCAATGATAAAATTGATGTTTTAGGAAAATTCAGCTATAATTGGAGTATAGGATGTCAGATATGATGGAGGAAAATAAAATACAATTAGGAAGCTCTTTTAGATGATAGGAGACTGAGAGGGAAATAGACAGGTGGTTTTGGCTGGGAATGGAAAGGAATAATGCTTTTACAAAAAAAAAAAAAAAAGGTTACTGAGAAGAAGGGTAGCAAAGAGTTAAGTTGCTTTTCTTTGACTCTGTCTCAGATCAGATTCCCTAGAAGCAGAGCCTGAGATGGGGATTTTTCTACAAGGGACTTAGGGAGGGAAGCAACAGAATAGAGGAGGCCATGCCCTGTGTTCAGCTGAAGTCTAGCCTCAATTTGGAGTGGGAAGCATACCACAGAGTTGCCCCTCCTGAAGGCCAGGAGACTGGCCATTATGTCCCCCAGTTAGTCAGTCATTGGTAGGTAGGAAGTAAGAGACCATCACCTCATAGGCATTTCCTGACTAGGTGGCTGGTTCCTTTCAGCTGAGGGCAGTTCTCAGGAGAAGGATGCAGTTGTGAGGTGTTAAGAGACCATGACTCACAGCAGCTGGAGTTTGGGTGCACTAGCCTGATAAAAGGAATTTGGTGGGGGATACTACCAGTGTCATCTACTCCCTATTATAGTCTGTTCTTCATACAGTGCCCTGCTGAGAACCTTCCAGTAGCTTTCCTTTACATCCAGAGTAAAATCCAAACCCTTTATCCTGGTCTATACAATCTGGTCTCTTTCTGCCTCTGTGGCTTATACATTCTCTCTCTATCCAAACTTTTTCTTTCTCAAACATGCCAAGCTGATTCTCATCTCAGAGACTTTGTGCTTGATTTTTATTCTGCCTAGAATGCTCTTTCCCCCCAGATTTTCATGACTGATTTCTCATTGTGCAGGCCTCTCTACTCAGATGTCATCTTTTCAGAGAGAACATCCACTGTCTTTCCCCAACAGGCTGTAGTCTGCACAAGTTACTCTGTCCTGTTAATAACTATCACCCTGGGTGCATTGATGAATCGACACCCAAAAAATGGATGGAGAGAAATGATTAGGAGGTAAGGGTTCAAGATCTTCCTGAGATAATGGACAACTGTGAAAGAAGTAGAAACACTGATAAGAATAAGAAATGTGAAGAGTATGTCCAATGTGTGTGGAAAGATGTGAAATTTTGTTTGAGATAACAGCATAAAATATATGGAAGAGTCAAATAGTGTAGGGGTGCCTGGCTGGCTGAGTCAGTGGAACCTGCAACTCTTAATCTCCAGGTTGTGAGTTTGGGCCCCACATTGGGTATAGAGATTACTTGAGTAAATAAAATCTTTTTTTTTTTTATAGGAGTACAGTTCTAGAACTAAATTCATATCCTGGTGCAACCACCTGCCAACTGCAAGATCTTACTCAAGTTATTTAACTTCTTTGTGCCTCAGTTTCTTTACCTGTAAATGAAGATAATGGTATTTTCTACCTCATAAGCTTGTGGAGAGGACTTCATGAGTTATTATCTATAAATCATATAAAACAGTGTCCAGCTAATAGCATTATTTTAGTTGAATTTTAGGAGTCTACATAGAGAAGAGAGAAAGCAGGCTGAGACTCATGTAAGATGAGTGATGAACCTACGGGACAAAATCTAAGGAGGCGCTTACTGAGGATTACATACTGGTTACTGCATTTGCACAACTGAGTGTGCTTCTTTCAGTTTTGCATTGTTGACCTTTCACTTGTCTCACCCTAATCCTCACCCTGGTCTCAGTCAGCAAAGGGGAAAACCCTTTATTGGTAAGATTCTCTAAATCTGGGCACCTGTAACGCCTCCTCCCTGTGGCCTTGGTGGGAGCAGTTTCTTTTTTTCTTTAAGATTTTATTTTTAAGTAATCTCAACACCCAACATGGGGCTCAAACTCACAACCCTGAGTTCAAGAGTCTAATGCTCTACCGACTGAGCCAGCCAGACACCCCAATGTGGGAGTGGTTTCTTGCTGTTGCCAGTTTCTGGGTTGCCTCACTGTCCTTTGATTGCTTCTCCGTCTTTTCCATTACTTACATAACCAATTCCCTGTAGTCAGTCCCCTCTGCTCAAATACTCTGAGTAGTGGATTCTGTTTCTCTGGTTGGACCCTGACTGATATAACAATTAATATACTCTAATCCTTCATAATAAGCATAGAATTTCTGGGATGTGGGGGAAGAAGCTAATATTTATGGAGTACCTTCAATGCTTTAGGTACTTTGACATATAAAGTATTTAATTTTCATCAGGTAGTGGAGTGGTGTCCACTGGATACTTTATAGGAAAGAAATCAGAATTATCACTCATCTAGGGTCATCTAGAGCTGTTATTCACACCTAGTTTGAAGGTTTATACTTTTTTCACTATGCAAAACATGTGTGTATGTGTGTGTCCAGATTGTAGATAAACTATCAAATATGTAAATTTATTTTTTTCCCAGTGAGAGATGGTTTTTTTATTTTCAGAGAGATACTATTAGTCTTTCCAACCACCTCCCCACTTTCACCTCCTCTTCCTTTATTTATTTATTATGGTAAATTCACATAACATAAATTAATCATTTCTAAGTGAACAATTCAGTGGCATTCAGTATATTCACAGTGTTGTGCAACTATTACTTATATCTAGTTTCAAAACATTTCCATGATTCCAAAATAAAACTTTTTTTTTTAAAGATTTTATTTATTTATTCATAAGAGACAGAGAGAGAGAGAGAGGCAGGCTCCCCGCTGAACAGGGAGCCCGATGCAGAACTCGATCCCAGGACTCTGGGATCATGACCTGAGCCGAAGGCAGACGCTTAACCATCTGAGCCACCCAGGCACCCACAAAATAAAACTTCTTATTAAATTTTTCCCCATTCCACCCTCTTCCCACCCCTGCAACCATTAGCCTGAATTTTGTTTCTATGGATTTACCTGTTCTGAATATTTCATATTAGTGGAATTACACAGTATTTTGCCTTTTATGTCTAGCTTCTTTCACTTAGCATAATGGTTTGAGGTTCATCCACAGTGTAGCTTATATCAGTACTTCATTCTCTCCTTGCTGAATAATATCCCATTGTATGTATATACTATATTTTATTTATCCATTCATCCATTGGTGGATATTTGGCTTACACCTCTTGGCTATTGTGAATAGTGCTGCTATGAACATGAATGTACGTGTATTTATTTGAGTGCCTGTTTCCTATTATTTTGGGCAGGTATGAACTCATTAATGTCTAGCTTATTTTTCTAATTCTAATCCCTAGAATTTTAGATTACAAATGACAAGATACAGGAATTTCTGTAAAAATATTTTTTCTCTTCTTAAAGACTTACTCATATCTATGATCTAGTTTTAGTTTATTCTACAAGTTTTGCTCATATTGCTCCCTATTGTATATGTATGTGTGCATGTATATGTGTGTGAGTATGTACACAAGAGAGAAAGAGAGGGAAAGACAGTGTTTTTGTGTTTTTAACATTTAATGTAACCATTCTGGGACTCGAAGTTCCCAGAACTATTTGCTTGTGTTTCATATGGATACTTGCAGATTTTATGTAAAGTACCACTTCTAGGTTAAAGAGGCCATGGATCTTTCAAAGTTAAGTGCTAATAGAGAAGGGTTATTTAGAAATTTGGGCATACAAATGCAGCTATTTTCAATTGTATGCAAATAAAATTTTATTTCTCTCATTAGGACAAATATAGAGCAGATGAGGGAGGGATCACTGTAATTGTAAAATCACATTTTGTAATTTATGTGAAAAGAAAATATAATCTAAAATAGATTGAATGCACAAATAAAAAAAATAACCCAGGTGTAAATTATTTATTTATGAAATGAAACCTTTGAAAAGAGAGGAATGCTGATAGCAACCTTGCTATGCAATATACTTCACTTCTGTTCTTACCCTTACATTTTCAAAGTGATACATAGTAATTTAGTTTCACTCCCATTAATATGAGTGGGAGTTTTGAAACTTAAATTCTGCACACATCTTTGAAAATGTATAGGTCAAAGTAAACTGTTAATGCAGAGCTGGTTTTCAGTTTTAGTGAAATATTACGAATCTCTCACCAAAGATGTCCTAGAAGGCACTTTCATTCTAGTCGCAGGAGAAGAATTATGTATAAGGTTACTATTTGGAGGTCATCATCTTTAAAACAACATGGATAATAAATCATATTAAGGAGGAAAAAAAGCATTTTCCCAACCCTAAAGAACACAAAATTTCAGGACCCATATTGTTTTATAGTGAGCAAAGGACCTTGGACCCTTTCAATGGACCCTTTCAGCCCCGTGCATCTGATCAGCGATAGAGGCATGCTAAGGTGAATTTTAATTAGGACTAAATTGTGGTATTACTCTTTCATACCCTGAACATCTGTTCCCTTCAGAAATGATGATTTATGCAGGCTATCAGAGCAGACAGCTTGCTACAGCTTATGTCACAGTTAGTGGGAAGCTGGTGGTAGCATTTCAGAAAACCAGCATCTAAATGGAGACTGGCCAGTGTATATGATATAGGTAAGAGGGGGAGGGGAAATATGATGTGTCCATTTCTAGTTTTGAAGCCAAATATTGACTTGACTTAAAAAAAAAATTCTCTTCTAGACCATCTGTTGTTAATGAAGAAAGTAACTTGGACAATGAATGGACTGATGCTTCCTACTGATGTTAAAAGACAGAAAACCAAGCCTGTTCTTTCTGATAGAATGAAGGAACTTACTGAGAAGACCTCAGTCCGAATTCTGTTCTTTAAGAATGGCACGGGGCAAGATGGGCATGAGATTACAGTGGGAAAGGAAACAATGGAAAAGGTAATGTTGTCTGAAATATTAAAGTATAAATTAAATTTCAAAGTTTTCATAGCTTTTGAAATGTGTTGGTTTTTTTCTTTTAAATATCAGCGTCAACTAATAAACTGAAATATTAAGAAGGTATTATAAAGAATGTAAAACTTCAGCTGTTTAGAAGCATGCTTACTATACTAACAACATAAATTACCTTAGTAAAGCAACAAGATTTCTTTGGCTAACATATAGTTGGCCATTTACCTAGTTAAAAGTTATGCTTACACTTAGAGAACATTCTAGTTGGTTATAATATTTTATAAAATATTTAGATTGAAACCAATCTAATCTAGCTTCAAATCTAAAATCTGATTCTTTTCATTTCATTTTATTTTTTTAAAGATTTTATTTATTTGGCAGAGAGAGACACAGTGAGAGAGGGAACACAGCAGGGGGAGTGAGAGAGGGAGAAGCAGGCTTCCCGCTGAGCAGGGAGCCCGATGCGGGGCTCAAACCCAGGACCCTGGGATCATGACCTGAGCCGAAGGCAGACGCTTAATGACTGAGCCACCCAGGTGCCCCTGATTCTTTTCATTTTAAAATAATAAGACCTAGGGGCACCTGGGTGGCTTAGTTAAGCATCTGCCTTGAGCTCAGGTCATGATCTCAGGGGATCCAGGCATGGAGCCCCTCATCAGGCTCCCTGCTCAGTGGGGAGCCTGCTTCTCCCTCTCTCTCTGGCCCTCCCTGCCACTTATATACTTTCTCTCTGTCTCTCAAATAAATAAAATCTTAAAACATAATAATAATAAAAATAGTAAGACCTGGAAGAACCCCTGCTTCTGGAATGAGTAAGTAAAGTCCAAAATAACTAAGATTCGTTTAAAAAGTATCCATATGCATTTTTAAAAGCAAATCTAGATGGGTCTAAGAAAAATCATGTAACAATCAAGCAAACTTTAAGAAACAAATTTTGTCATATAAATGCATGTTTTTTAGGAGGTGCGTATATTTCCCAGATCATCTTTGGTCTGACAGAAATATGGAGGAACTAATGGGAGTTTGAAGGAAAAAAATTTTTTTTTACGGATAAGGGCTTCTCAACCAATCTTAAAGCAGCCTAATAATAACACTAAAATTTATTAAATACGTATTAGAGAGACAGTGAAACATAAGCAAACTGTCTAGGTTTTAACCCGGGCTTTGTCATTGAATCTATGAGACTTTGGACACTTTACCTTCTCCAAGCCTCCATTTTGTCATCTAAAGAATGGGAATAACAATAGTGCCTACCTAACAGAAATGATATGAAAATTCAATATGATATTATGCATGGAGTGCCAGCACCCAGAAAGTTCCCAATAAATATATGCTATTCTTATCTTTAGGACTTATAAATATACATCTAATAGTTAGAAATTATTTCTCTTACTAAAGGGAGAGATTTATTATGAAATCAAGACAGGTATAAATCATTTTTTTATGCCAGAGTATTTTCAAAATGACTGTTGCTTGAAACAGGTGAATAGTTGACTAGATACTGGAAATTGTTCTTATTGAAATATTTATTTCTTCATCTTCTTATTTTTGTGGTTATTTTATAACCGCAACTGGGTAAGTGTTTACTGAGAATCTAGGAAACCAGGTTTTATTTCCTTCTTATTTCAGATTTGGATTATGAGTAAAACAAGGGATATTATACACCAGAGTAAATTGCTAAGGCAAGTTGTAACATCTTTCCTGGAGATTTTGAAAACTAGAGAAGATAGACATACCTCTTGTATTGTTAAAATGCAGTCATTCTTGGAGGTAGAAGCTAGATTAGATAACCTCTTGAGTTCACTTCAGTTCAATCTTTGTAATTCTATGCCTTGGTGGTAAAATGGGGGTAATAGTCACAAAGATTACATGCTCTTAGATGAAAGGTTGAGTATAAGTAAAAATGTCACTGGTATTTTTCTTTTTGACTCTAGAGAGCAATTTATTTAAAACTGGATGATCAAGCAATTCTTTAGCTTATTTTTTTCTCCTTACAATTTGTAAAATTTAAAGAATTTTCACAATTTATAAAATTCAGGATATGATTCAGTAATAAGCATATTTGTAAATATTTGATGAAATATCGCTTTTAACATAGAATAGGGAATATAGTCAATAATAATGTTATAACTTTGTGTGATGACAGATGGAAACTATACTTACCTTGGTGAGCACTGCATAATGTATAGAACCATCAAATCACTGTGTTGTACACCTGAAACTATATAACATTGTATGTCAACTATACTTCAAATAAAAAATACTTAATAAATAAATATCATTTATATGAACAAGGTAAAGGATAGGAAGCAACAGAATCCTGGCCCTGAGTATCCATAGAAGTTTTTGAAGGGAAAAAGTAAGGCTAGCTAATTATTTTGTAAATAAAATTTAAATTTTTGAAAGTTTTGTTGATAATCACAAGATAATGCATATTTATAGATTAACTACCAAGTCAGTAAAAGGAATAAAAAACTGGCGTGGTCATAGGAGAAATACAAATTATTTTCTCTTTTATGATAAAATATTAGGAAAGTCAGAGATTAGGAGCTATTTTTAGGTTATTATGAAGTAATAAAAAACTGGAATAGGATGTAAAAGACTCTAATATGGTGAAGGCTATTGCAGTGGGATAAAGAGAAAATTATTGACGATGGTAGTAAAGTAAGTTAGTTAAGGCATAAAAGTTTTTTCTGAGCTCAGAATGGAGCCATGGGAAAATGACTATATTTTAATCTTAAGTGCAAATCAGAAGGAAATCCATTTACTTATTTTAAAAGGTTAAATAATTAGGAAGTTTGAAATGAGGGCCAAAGTGATATATTTCTTCTAAACTCGGGAAATCCCAATTATGGCCCATCTCTTTGATACTTGAATCAGATGGTTTTAGAATTACTTGGTATGGTTTAATAATCACACGGCACCTGCTACTGTGAGGCGTAGGCTAAACATATGTATTCAGAGGTAGAAAAAGGTATTAAGAAAAATTTCTGGGCACAAGATACAAAGTTAATGGGAAATGAAAAATATCTGCTCCAGATAAATAACTTTTTAAGGCTAGCATTGTGATGGTGGATCAGTTTTATTTTCCATCAATTATCTCTTAGATTCATTGCCAAAGAAGTGGCATTAACTGTATCGATTATTTTATTATCTAGGATATCATCTCCTTTATGAGAAATACTTTTTTTTTCCTCAGCACTTAATAGTTATATCTTATTTATTTGTTTTTTGTTTGTTTGTTTGTTTGTTTTTGCTTGGTTTTCTATGTACTATCATAAATGGCATGAGATTGCAGTGGTGAAGAAAACAATGAAAAAAGATAATGAATGAATGAAACAATGAAAAAGTGCCCTGTCCCCTTGGTCCAATTTGAATTGACTGTTCTCTATAACCTATATCCTGGGATCTCCCTTCACTGTCAGCCTGGGGATTATCTTTCCCTCTCTCCTCTGTTGGATCCCTCTCTCCCACTTCTCTAATCTTCCTCTGTCTTCATTTAGTCTATTAGACACATATTCCCGTTGCTTTCTAAGAAAAAAAACATGGGAGATAAATTTTTTGAGATCTTGGGAAATCATTCTTCCCTCCAAATATTAAAGGTATTTCTCATTGCTTCTTGTTTCCAGTGTTGCTATTGAGAAGTCTGATACCATACTGATTCCGCATCCTTTGTAGGTGACCTGCTTTTAATTTTTCCCCTCCAAAACCATTTAGAATTATCTCTTTTTTCCCAGTGTTCAAAAGTTTTTCCAAGATGTACTAGTTACTCACCATGTCTTTTCAGTCTGAAGTCTCACCCTTCTCTTTTGAGAAATTTTTTTGAATTATTTCTTTGACAATATCTTTTTTCTTTTCTTCTTCTGTTCTGATTTTATGGAACTCCTATTTTTATATGTTGGATCTTCTGACCTGAACTTCTGAATTTCTTATCTGAGTGATTTCCTTATTTTACCTTCTAACCCAATGAATATTATTGCTTCTGCTTCCTGCACTATCTCTGTTTTCTAAGTATTTGTTTTGTTTGTTGTTTTTGTTTTCTGTCTTTCATGTTATAGTTTTCTTAAAGATGGGTTAATCTTCCATCAATATTTAAAAGTGAAGAGCTCAACACCAGTTGAAAAGCTCTTGAGTATAGGGACGTCTTATTGAGGCATGGGTTGCAATGGAGAGTGTTTTGACTAGGCTTTTTCTTTAGGGTGGGGGGAGTTGTCAGCGTTTGTCTTTACTTTGGGGCTGATCAGTTTCTCCAGCGAGAATCTGCCAATGCAATCTCATAGCCAAGTGGAAAAGGGGACTAAGAGTTACATTTTCAGTATGTAGATTTTCATTTAATTCTTCTCTTTTCAGTAAACTACTCTCTTTCTCAGCTCCGCCTGGTGCCTCTGATTTCAGAGTTCCTGTGGTTTAGCTTCTCCAGACACCAAATCTCCTGTCTTCTCCTCTGATGGCAGAAGTATAGTTACCTGAATGCTTGGTGTTCAGGGAGGGTTTGAGGGGCTTAACTGCTTTTTATACAAATAGTCAACTTATTTTCAGCCTACTTTTTAGAGGTATCTGATGGCTCAAATTTGTGAGTACCTTTCTGGGGTTTTGCAATACAAAGCAAGTTTACTTCTGCTAGCTTCGGTTTTGAAGTTTCTGGTCTGCTAAATCATTTACTACTTACTTATTTTTCCTCTGGCTCCCAGAATTTTTGTTACTGGAGGCTCCTTTCTGATTCGTTCTTTCTCTTTTTCAAAATGCCAAGTATCAATCTCTTATTTAACATTGATAAAGCTGATTATTTTAGGTGAAAAGATAATTCCAATATCTTCTTTCTATCCCAGTGGATTGTTTTGTGCAGTGTGTTGAGGTTTGTACATCTGATTCGGAAAACATAGTTTCAATCTACTTGAGTGAGAATAGAATAATTTTTCCTGTCATCTGGAGACATAAGATACTTATTGCAGACAAAGGGCCTTCAGTGTTTCTCAAAGTATGGTCCA